GATAAGCAATGACTATTTAATCAATTCAGCTAGCTTTTTTTTTTCATCGTTGCATTTTTTTTTTTTTTGATTCAGATCGGCAACTTCTCCATTCTTCTCATTCTCAAATGAATAGAAATGCACGCTGTGGTTTTCACTTCTCTAAATGTTTCTTCTCCTCTCTAATACTTTTGTAGCTGTGAAAAAGTACTGTTCCAAATGAAGCATGGCAGCATTCTTTCGATTTCAAAAATTTCCATGGCTAAGTGATGTTAGAGGGGAGAAGAAACATGTGAAAGGATAAAACCCACAACTTCGAGCAATGCTTTATTTGCAGACAAAAAACAGCTTGGAGTAACCCCTTTCTTTGCAGACGAAATAGTCCTCAAACAAAGCCAGACAACTGCCTTAACGAATTATCACTGAATAGAGGTACTGCAGCTCTAGGAAATGCAACACTGTGTTGAGGCAGAGGACGGCGATTCGGCTAATTATGAAGTCTTACTGCTGGCCATTCTGTGGCCCAGTGTGCTCTTTTCTTCGGCCTATGCGTGTACTTGGACGATTAATGCATTAGGCTTGATTGCCCGAGGGACAATGTGTCACAAATACGATAATCATCAGTTAGCTTGTGCTTCTTAACGATATATTGGGATTGTTCCGGAGTAAAGCGAAAATCGATGTTGTTTATAGGCACGGAGCACGAAATACCATTAGCCCAAATCCTGAATTTGCATACAAATTTTATATCGGCGATTGATTCTTCAAGCTATGGTCCCCGCTAAATTACCCCAAACCAGAGTTATCTTAAAAAAACGGAGGGGTTAAAGGAAAAGCCGAGAATCTGGACCTTAGAATTTAAAAAAAAAAAATCACTAAATTGTGCATCGTGTAATCACCCAGACCATGTAAAGTATGGAATCCAATTGGCAGAGGGTATGCTACTCGTTTTGGGGAAAACCAGTGGACATTGGGTATTAGCGAATGGTACTCACGAGAAAGTAAATGACCGAATGGTACCAAGAGAAATGTGTACCTAACCAAATATGCTATGCCTAGTAACTGGATCTACCATCGTAAGCTTTTGCAGTATCAACACACCCTTTCACATTCTTCTCTATTTCGAGTTTTTTTGCATCCGTATAACCCCAAATAGACGTTCCGTGAATCCTTTCATCTCCGCCGCATTCATATTTTTTCTAGTGTCTCTGGCGTTCAATTCTTCTTAACGCTTTTTTCTTGAAATTTATTACTTTTAAATTACTGTATCAACAACAAATATGGAAAACATGAAAGAA